TCTGTAACCGTGTTGTTCCATTAGTAAGGTGAAAGGAAACTGTTAGCTGGTTTCAGTTAAAGTTATAGGAAATAGACCAGCCAGTACATGTTATGTTGTCTATTGTTTACTGGTCATTTTCTCTGTGTGTTAAGGGCTGATTAATACATGGCCATTACACGTAATGTGTCACGGTCTGGGGGGCAGACCGTGGGGGGTGTTGGAGAAAGGACCCAAACGCTGGACTTAGAGGAATGAACAGTGGGTTTATTTACAGTGAGGTAAAATGTACACCACACAATAATTCTCCAAAGTGCTCCCTCGACTCCCGTGACGTGTCTTCTCCCAAGTGCTGGTATCCCGTGCTCTCTGCCCCTGTGCCTTCACACACCCCGTGTGTCTTGCAGTCCTGTGTTCCGCTGTCCTCCTGAGGAAAAAACAGACACAGCCGTTATGGCACCAACTCCAGCAGGCATACACTTAACAACACTAGAGACACTGACGTGGAGTCTAACTCAACGATCCTGCGCCGGAGGAAGCTCCATCGCTCTGTTAAGTAGCTCCCCCGACGATCCTGATCAGAAGCAGGTGTGTGGGAAGCTAGGCGTGACCAGCAGCTGGCAGGGCCACACCCATCAGGCCTGCAGGTGGCTGTCCTTCATCCTCCAGCCACACACACCCACACACACCAGCATGGAACACAAGAGCACAGTGCAGCAAACATACATCCAATACACAAATAACAATAAAGGTCCACACTGTTCACGAACCCCGAGTCCCCGGAACCGGGTCCGTGACATAATGCTACAAAAGTAACGCAGGCCAGTTATTACAATGGAAGCCGCCAGTAACACTGAATTGTTTTGCTGTGTTTCAGCGCAATAAATCTTCATGTGCACCTGAATGAACCCTGTCATCCTTCTGTGTAACACATACATGGTGGCAGTGATCAAAGACCATTCGCTTTGGTCATTCAGCACTTAGTGAGGCTTACTCCTTTTAAATATATTGGTTCCTGAGGGGTGTCCAGCAACTTATTCTCAGGCCAGGATCCCCGGTTCCCCTCTGGGACCTGGACCTTATCATAGGCGCCATTCAGTGGTCTCCTTTTGAAGCACTGTAGGTCACTGACCTGAAATGATTGTCCTTGCGGCTGCACCTCATTGTTTTGTAATTTTATTTAATTTAACATAGAAAGAAAGCATGTCTTAATTCCTGTACTTGATATTTAAATAAATTGCATCTGCGTTTAGAAAATCATCCATGAAACTAACCATACCTATGAATGCTATCCAGAATTGCATTCACAGGCTACTTTGCCTTGTTTAGTAAATTTGGCTCCTAATGTCCTTGTTTCACTTACATTATATTGTCAAAAGTATTCACGCACTTGTCCAAGTCATTGAATACAAGTGCTCCGATCACTTTCATGCCCACAGTTTTATAAATTCAAGCATCTGGGCATGCAGACTATTTCCACAAACATTGGTGGTTGCTCTCTGTACCTCAGTTAATTCCAGTGTGGTACTATGGCCAGATGCAACCTGTTCAACAATCATGAAATTTCCTTTTTTCTAAAATATTCCCTACTCAATGTTAGAAGTGTTATAACAAAGTGTAAGCAATTGGGAACCACAGCAATTCAGTCATGAAGTGGTAGGCCAAGTAAAATCAGAGAGCGGGTTCAGCAGATCCTGAGGCACATAACGCACAGAGGTCTCCAGCTTTCTGCAGAGTCAATCACTACAGCTTTCAAAATTCATGTGGCCTACAAATTAGTTTAAGAACAATGTGTAGAGAATTTCATGGGACTTGGATTCCAAAGCTCAAAAGCTAACATCACAAATGCCCATTTGGAAGAATGAACAAAAATTCCCATAACACACACCCAGACATCATGGAAGCCTTTCCAGAAGAGCCGAAGCTGTTATAACATCATATTATAACTGTTATAATATGATGTCACACTGGGTGGGGCGACATCATATTAAACCCTATGGATTTGGAAGGGATTGCATGTGAAGGCAGTTGAGTGAATACTGTTAGCACTATAGTGTATTTGGTATATCCAGATGAATATCTTATAATTAAGCAAGTTTAACCCCTTAGCAGTCCTATTAGTCCCCTAAACCATCCAATGTCCCGTGGGCGGTACGTCCGACTGCTAACAGTTTAAGGCTAGAATACAGGAAGGAATAGGACTCTGTGTGTATTCATTTTGTCAGCAGATTTTGGTTTAGTTTATTTTGTTTAAAATGTAATTCAGTTTTAGTCGACAACATAGCACAAGTTTATAGTAGACTGAATCTAAAGTTGATTCAGTTGACTAAAACATAAAGTGTAAAAGTTTGTTAAGACAATTGCTCCACACGGTTTACAAAGCATCTTATTTTCCTTGATATCAAATGCAAACTGTGTTAATTTGTTTTCCTCCAAAGCAGAGATATTTTGTTATGTTTCCATGGGCCCCCCACCCCATAACCACACAAATGCCTTCAAATGTCACTTTACTGCACAAAGACATTGCTTCTGATTGGATCACTTCCAAAAAAAAAACCCAAGTTACTACGCTTGAGGTGCTTGTCTTAATTTTTTTTGTTATACTAGAAAACGAAAATATTTGAGGAAAGGTTTGAAACCATGACTATAGATTAGAGAGTTTTAATGAAGCACACAAACCACGGACTCACCACACGTTTTGAAAGTGCCCACTGTTTTTCTGAATAATAACCTTTATTGAAGATGTTTGTGAAGTAGATCAATAAATACTTTATATACAATTAATCAAAAAATAGGTTATCATCAAAGTAGTTTGCAAGGGTACATGTTATCATAGGACAATATTGTATACATTGTATGTTGAATGACAACAAAAGTCTGAATTTAACTTAGTTTGTAACTGAACCAAGGATAAATCAGTCCTGTCTTTCATTCTGCATAATGCATATGAATGTAGGGCCAATACCATCATTTCATAAAGTCAAATGAAAATCGCAATGATCCCTATAGTGCTGGATCTTGACAGAGTATAATAATGTCATTTTAATGTAAATTAATTAGTAAGAAATCAATGTTCAATAATTTCTTTAAATAGTAGTGTTAGCTAAGTGAAATGAAAAAACCAAAACACTACTGAGTTATAGCTTGGAATTAGCTTAGCTTAGCATATTGGAATCAGGGGAAAACAGCTAGTGTGGCACTTAAAACACTTAAAAACACAGACTGAATAAAAACAAAAGTGGCATGAGAGCTCTCATGAAAAAGAAGCAAAACTTTTAGGAAAAGGTCCTGTTGCCTTGCACTAATGTTGGACTGGACCCTGTCTCCGTTCAGTTTCTACACAGGCTAACAATAAATCAACTGGTGAACAATGATGCTAGTATTTTACCAGGCTTCATAAAATGCAATTCCAATAAGTCTGGGAGAATGCTAAATCTCTGAGCGTCTGTAATAAAGTAAAGGCAATCCAAATTAAAATTCTACACAGAGCTCACATATCACCTTCTCAACGCCATAAATACAATTCTGACCTTTCTCCGCTGTGCCCTAAATGAAAAATAGAGGTGGGCAACCCCACGCACTGTCTATGCACCTGCTGCAAAACACAACAATTTTGGTGTGTCAATGCAACCCATTGTGCATGTTACTTGGAGTGGCAAACGACAAAATCAGGGGGAAGTTTGGAAAGCAGCTCTACGCACTGTTAACATTCTGTGCTAGGAAATGTGTCCATGGCCCCATCTAAGACTCAGTGGCACCGGACAGTATTGGAATATGTATATGTGTCACTAGATTTCTTAACATGCAAGTTACATAGTTGGGACAAAAAGTTTAATAAAATATGGGACCCATTTATGGCGTATGCCAGTTTGGATATTTCTGCTATTTTCTCACGGGCCCTGGTACAATGCAAGCAAGTCACTGCTGTTTTACATATGTGTATTGTTAATTGTATCTCATAATCAAAGTGTCTGGAATTTCCATTTATTTATTTGTATTCTTGAGCCGGGTTGTTTGTTTTGTTTTGTTTTGTCTAGTTTGTTTTGTCCTGTTATGTTGGTTTTGTTTAATGATGGTGTCAGTATAAAGCTTAAAATTCAACAAATACATGGAAGGAAAAAAAATTATAGCATACTAAGTGCAAAAAAGAAAATGCAATTCCAATGAAGGCCACTGGATGCTAGATACAAAACCATTCTTGGCCGTAGCTGACGAATGTTCAAATAGCACAGAATCTTCTTAAAGATGGAAAATAAATACTTTATCAATTACTAAATAACATTACTAAAAGTGTACTGGTTGTTATGTTGGAAATTATTGCTTCATTATTGCAAACCAATAAGTTTTGAATGTAATACCATGTTACATACAAATTTACTGGCTCATTAATCTGCTAGCATTTGATAGCTAAAGCAGCTGGAGACACAACAGACAACTTATCATTCACCTTATACTATTTTAAAATCTGCCCAAAGTCCACCATCTGAGGTGCACGTGTAATTGGTGCACTGTAATATAAAATTCACTCATAGCCTTGCACTCACTGTCCAATGACAAAGTTTACATTAGCAATCTCTACTTTTAAGATTAGGCTTAAAACTTTCCTTTTTGCTAAAGCATATAGTTAGGGCTGGACCAGGTGACCCTGAATCCTCCCTTAGTTATGCTGCAATAGATGTAGGCTGCCGGGGATTCCCATGATGCATTGAGTTTTTCCTTTCCAGTCACCTTTCTCACTCACTATGTATTAATAGACCTCTCTGCATTGAATCATATCTGTTATTAACCTCTGTCTCTCTTCCACAGCATGTCTTTTATCCTGTCTTCCTTCTCTCACCCCAACTGGTCGCAGCAGATGGCCGCCCCTCCCTGAGCCTGGTTCTGCCGGAGGTTTCTTCCTGTTAAAAGGGAGTTTTTCCTTCCCACTGTCGCCAAAGTGCTTGCTCATAGGGGGTCATATGATTGTTGGGTTTTTCTCTATATCTATGAAGCGCCTTGAGGCGACTTTTGTTGTGATTTGGCGCTATATAAATAAAATTGAATTGAATTGAATTCAATAAACTATAACAGCGTTTAATTATTTTCTTCAGTTTTTCAAAGAATTCAGAGAATGAAAAGTTTAAGAAATCCATAAAACTATAAAAGGGGCTTTAATATTTTTTTTCCAGCTTGAGTCATTGTTATCAGATGTAGTTTGTTTTTAAATGGAGCTTTGGAGTTTTGGTTTATCTTCGAGCTCTAGCTGTTTCCCCCTGCTTTCAGTTTTTATGCTAATCTAAGCAAATTATATATTGCATTGATCACTGTGCTGAACATACAGACATGAGAACATCACCCTTTTAGAGAGACAAATATTCCTTCAAAGGTCTTTTATTTAAGACATTTTATTTGTCAAAGAACAGATTCAAGCAACAACAGTTTGGGGATAATCAGATAATTGTTTATACTGTTGCTTTTTTCTAACATTAAAGTGTAAAATCTTAATATACCAATGTACCGCATCCCAACAATCCGTAAGCATTGTTCCTTTAATGGTGCTAGACGACAATGTGTATAATGTACAAAACACAGCCTAACACCTGTGGTTATATGCACTTAATGGCATTGCTTTGCATTGATCCCTCTGCTTTCTGAGATGTTACTTTGCACCGAAAGTTCTCAGGATGTGAGCACAGCATTAAAAACTGTACAAACTGCTGCTGGACGGTAACTGTTGAAGAACTAGAAAAATATTCTGGTGGCTCAGCTTTTCCAGGGGTGCTGTGGTGGCCTCTGCCAGGTAAATAAAGAAACGTTCATATTCAGTGTAGAGAAACCAGGGTGGAGGTGTCAAGCGAGTTACCAAAGGAATAAGTGTGGGGGATGTTGAAAAGGCCAGCAGGCGTCTTATCTGTCCATTAAACACACACATACATTGGAGTCTTCAGATAGAAACCTCGTATTCTCTGGATTCCTGTGAAGACATTGCACGAGTTTGGTCAGCACTCAAAGCAGTCAGAAAACTAAACCAGTGTACACTTTAAAATGGCAGGACAGCATGTTACACAAACATGATGGACAACAATGGAAACAATTATAGTTTTTAAATTATTAATAAAAAAAACAACAATAAATGAGCAGAGGAACTTTAAAAATGCAGATAATTTTATAGAGATGCACTACATCAGCGGTCCCCAACCCCCGGGCCTCGGACCGGTACCGGTCCGTGAGTCGTTTGGTACCGGGCCGCGAGAGTTGAGGCTCAGGTGTGAAATGTGTGGTTTTCAGGGCTTTTATGGGTTTTCAGCGTTATTTTGTTATCGTTTTTATCGTTAACTCGGTTTTCCTGGGTCTTTTCACGTGTGTTCTTAACTGTATTACTTTATTGTTTTTTTTGTAAAGCACTTTGGTATGCCTAAGGCTTTTAATGTGCTCTATAAATAAAGGTTGTTGTTGTGTTGTTGTGTGTTATGAATAAATCTTCTTTTTTTCAGTACCGGTACTAGTTTTATTTTGTTGTATTTATCCGCGACACCTTAAAGGCCGCTGCACTACATGGAACAAAATAATACTCATCAACTCTTCTCTGTAACAGAGTCTGAGCTTGGTTCACCCGAATTGTAAAACTCAAAAACCAGTTCAATTTGTTGTTATCTATGATCCACCTGACCTTTACTCACAGTTCCTCTCAGATTTCTCAGACTTTTTGTTTGATTTAGTGCTCCAAATAATTGTGAGTGATTTTAACACCCATTTAGATGCTTAACAATGACAGCCTCAACACTGCATTTAATATATTATTAGACCCAATTGGCTCAACAGCTCAACCACCACTTTAATCACATTCTGGATGATGTTTTTGTCATATGGCTTATAAACTGAACATTTGTGTTTCTCTTTTGTCTGATCATTTCTTAATAACATTTAAATTCACAATAATGGGTTCCACACCACAAAGGCAACCTTATTGTAGATGTTTTTCTTGAAAAAAGGAGTGTGTAGCCCTATAAAAAAGGCTCTCTGTAAATCTAAGACATTGATTGAAGAAAATAGGTTTCACTTCAGCGCTGTAGCCCAGCTGAAAGACAGTCAGAGATATGGCTGCTAAAAATGGAGCAAAGTAGAAGTGTAATAAAGCTTGAAAGAAATCCTAGTACATGTACCTCAAATTTGGTCCTTTTGTGACCAAACTGTTATATAGATAGAACAAATGTGCCAATATTTTAGAGTATTTAGGCAAATGAATTCACTTTTGATACACAAGTGAGTATTCAGGAAGTATAATCACAAGAGTATTTCACAGGAGGATCGAGGACTGACTCACCTCATTGTTCTTCAGAAATTGGAAGCATGGAAGGTGAACAAAACAGCAACTTAGACACTAAAGGAACATCCTCAGTTGCCATATGTTATAGTTAGTTAGAACTAAGTGTTGAAAGCAAACGTTTGTTCTTATTTATTAATCACAGGTATGTTACTGTTGCTTCTCCTAAAGGAGATGGTATACTGAAAACTTGGGATGTGTGATCAATATATGATGTTTTTCTCTGACAGTGTCATAGTAGTAACTTTCAGTAGATCTTCCACTCTTGGATTTGATTCAAATCATCGTGGAAAACTTTGTGGTGCTGATGACCCATATTGCATTATTCAGAGATACGCAGCCTGCTATGTAGCCTTACCTTACTAATATAATAAGGGTAGATAATATTAAAATAACATCCATCAGTATACCACAGTACAATGCAAGTGAACCACAAAGTGGTTCTAAATGAATGGAGGGCCATTAGATTTGATAGCGTAACAGACTGACAGCTGTGGGGAATGTTGACTCACCATTGTCTCATAAACTGAGTTATAAAGTGTAGACTCTCCAGTGATATTTTCATATGGTAAGTTGGAGTACAGAGTGAGTCTTAGTGGCTTCCTCTGGAACCTGAGCACATAGAGAGAAGCACACATCAATTAAAAGGAGACAAAAACAATTAAAAAACAAGAAAAACCCAACAACACTAGTTTGTTAAAACAGCTACTGTTTTCATAAGCAAGAGCTTACAGAGATGTATGTGCATAAAGAACATGACCTTACGTGCTTTAACTGAAAAACTTTATTTTTTACCAAACTCTCATTACTAATGATTATCTTCCACAAAACCCGAATTCAGGTATAAATTAGAAGTGTGTGTTTGCTTTCTGCACCAGTTTGAGGCCACACTCTGGCCTTTTGCTCAACATTGTTCTAAAATCCATAATACTAATTCCTTGGCAGGTCCTTTCAGCTAAATATATTTTCATTTGCTTTCAGTGCATCCCAGTCAGACCAAAGCCCCCCAAATCTCCTTATTTGTGACAGAGTTCAGAAATTTATGTTACTAAAAGCTTGCATGCACATTGCATGACTCTGCATTTGCACTGATTCTCTCATTGCATGACAAAGAGAGGCTGTAGTATTACTGTGCTGGAAATAAGTGCTTATTCCAAAAATTGTAAAGATTATGTTGTGTATATTTAAATTCTTTTCTCTAGTCATAATGTAATTTATTCTTTTTTTTCCAGCAGCATTTGTCAACTAATTTGGACATACTTTAAAAAATAAAGGTAGAGCCCAATGATGAGGATGAGGAAGAAGGTGATGGAGATGAAGACAGCCAATGCTACTTGGGCTCCTTCCATCCTTAGGTCTGCAGTAGGTACTGTTGGAGAAAAAAAAGATTGTGAAGGTTTAACTTTATTTGCAGCATTTTCATCATGAATTCCTGATTCACACTGAACAGTTGATATTAAGATGGGCCTACTACTTAAAATCTAGAAAGCAGTGATGTGGTCATTAATATAAGATGATAATACTGATGAATTCCTCCTCCTCCTCAGAAGCTTCATCTTCCTTTACTATTGGAGTCCTAGGGTCAGAGCCTTTTAGTCTTTGTGAAGTTTGAGAGATTGAGATTTATCTTCATTGATGGGCCTCCATGTCTTGAAATAACAATATACTTGTTTTGTTTTATTTGGTTGCTTTAATATGGATTCATACATTGACTGAATTAACTTATTAAGACCCAGAGGTTTGCCTGCTAACTGGAACCCAACCAAGTGATCACCTTGTAGAGCTGACTCCAATATTACCAGTGGTTTGCAAAGTAACTACCAAGGCAGAAAGTACAGTAATATACGTTTTTCAAATGACAAACTGTGATTTGATGTCTTTAGTTTTATTATACACTCTAAAAATTACAAAAAATGCAAAAGCGTTGAAATAATAGGTCTGTTAATATGTTTGACTGCTATTACACACCTTTACACATATAGTTGAATTCCCCTCCAGTTGCCTTTATTTTTTTATACAAATTATGATTATATATTGCATATATATTGGAAATATTTCTAGCACAAATGATCCTTTAAACTGTTCATCCCTGATGGTAACTCGTTGTGTGCAGGTAGAATCAGAAAGTTTATACAAAGACTTTTATCTCTGTAGGTAAACTTACCAGCTACTCTGTGCTTATCATACTCTGGTGGGTGGGCTGAGAATACAGAAAGAATGAATGTTAAATAAAAAACAGCAAAAGAAATTAAGAAAATACTTAATAAGGTACCGTTTGGCTGATTTAACTGAATTTTATTGACTATACCACCAGATACACTCTGTCAACAGTGATGAAAGTTTAACAGAATAAAACTTCTTGACTTGATCACATGAAAAATTACATGTGCAACTACAGCCTAACTGAAGGAGACATTTTGCAAGCACAGTGAATACTTTTTTTATCAACATTTTTTTTTCTTGCAATCATATATATGCATAATGTTCACAGTTTTGTGGATTGTTATGAGTTTAATTCTATTTAAAATCGAATCTATCAGCTTACAATTTTCCTGGTTGGTATGTTAATTAATTTAATCTCATCTATCTAAATAAGTCAGCTCCCTTAAAGTTTTCCAGTTAAATTGCTTAAGAAGTGAGCTTTTGATTGTTTGGGCTACCTGTAGTATATCAGGATTTATTTTTTTTTATATTTTTTTTATAAATCTGGTAAAAATAAAAAACTTAGTGAAGTGCATTTGGATATACTCCTTATTACTTTATTGTACTGTACATTGCAAAGATTACAGTACAGAATCCAAATGGCAGAAAACTCGCAGGATGATATTGCAAAGGACCAGATGAGATGCAAACACAAGGGCAGAGAGGCTACACCTGGGAGGACAGCCGAAACTATTCAAGACAATGAGACAATGTACGAGAATGGGAAAAATCATTACCAAAATAAACCTGGAAGCACAGAGCAGGAACTATAATTGTAAGGATATTTTGTTTACTGAAATGTAATTTGTATTGGAATTATTATAATTTTGGTACAAAATGCAACAAAGGGTTGTTGAAACCCTTTTTCTGCTCAGATATACTGTACCGTTTGCAATCAGAAAACAAATAAGTTCATTATTTTGTGCATATACAGCAGCTTGACTGTGCAACCTCTGAGACTCCTCTAGTAAAAGCAAATTACAGATGCATACTCTCACTGGAGTCCTGATAGGTCTCTCCTGCCTCGTGGTTGTTTGTTTAACATGTCCTTACTGTACCCTGTATCCCTGAGTTGCCTTGATCAAACAGCAGGCTCAAGGTAAAGGCTGCTCTTTTGTTATTTTAGCCTCTAGACTGGAACAACCTTCTCCAAATTGTCAGGACAAAAAAAATCAATTTGAAAAAAGACAGTTCTTTTTCCATCTATGGCCTTTCACTGTGATTGATGTGAGTTTCTGCTTTACTTTTTTTTTCTTAAGATGATCTGTCTTTCAGTCTGTAAGGTTTCATCATGGTCACGTTAATGTCATCTTTCCAGATCACGTTGCTATTCAAGGTTCATTAATACCTTTTTTTGCATTTTTTCTTTGACTTTTGTATGTTTTGAATTTGATTTAATATGGAATTTACATTTCCAAATATAACCTTTTTGCTTCTGGCTTGGCCACAACCAGTTTTTCTGAGCTGTTTTCCTTCACATGATCTTAAAAAATGAATTGACAATGTAGAAACAAGTCATGCTGCAGTTTTCTACCTTTGCAGACAGGTGGCAGCCCACTCCACTGGGATGGGTGTCCAGGAACACAGTAGAGAAGAGGTTCACCCAGCAGCTGATGGCCATTCTGGCAGGAATAATGCAGGGTCTCTCCAGCCTGGAAGTGGAGCTTATTAGAGCTGGGCATCCCATAAGTGGGGGTTCCTGGATGATTGCAAGGCTCGAAGGTCTCAGCTGAAGGCAAAGTAATGAAAAATTATGGTCACAACTGTGTAATTAATTTACTCCATGGCAGGTCACAGAGTTGTTGTTAATTAGTATTTCTAACAGAATGCCATTATTTAATCAGCGGGACAGGTGGAAAATTATACTGTCAAGATTTCAATTAAATTATGTTGGTTATTCAGAATCTGCAAAGAAAGACAGCATCTATTATTGTAACAGCATCACTGTCACTCTTACGATATTCACTAATAACTAAGAAATGACAAAATTTCTGTCCTGATGGGAGTTGTGTCCTCCAGGATGACAGTACCACCATTCACAGGACACAAGGTCTTAATTAACGATTTGAAAATGATGAAAACGAGATGAATCATATCCTGTGTTCTTTGTATTCCCCAGGTCTAATTGGAGATTTAATACACACTGAAGCTTGTTTGGTCTGGTCAGGTGTCCTGCTTGGGTTCTGGTTTTAAACAGAATTGGGTCATTAAATTTAGCATTGATGAAGTTAGTTAGAAATCTGTAAAAGTGCAGTGAATGTCTCTATTTCTACAACTAGGATATTATAATCTGAATAGTAAAAGACTTAAAGTAGTTGATGACACTAGTTCAGACAATTTTAAAGAAGGCCTTCATACCAGTTTGAAATTAATAAGCAGGCTTAATACTTTCCGTGTAGATAAAGCTTATATTTAGGGTTGGATCAGGTGACCTTGGACCATCGTAGTTATGTTGCCATAGGCTGAGGCTGCTGGGGGCTTCCTATGCTGTGCATTTCTTTTTTTGTATTAATACATATTTATACACTACTATTACATTTACTCATTAGTAACTATGCAATTCTGACTCTTTCTCACATAGAGTACATTTGTCCTGTCTCCCACTGCTCTCTTTTTCTTTCATTTCACCACCAACTGGTCACGGTAGATGGCTGCCCTCGCTGATCCTGGCTATGGCTGACGTTTCTTTCTGGTAAAAGAAAGTTTTTCTTTTTCAGTGACATCAAGGGCTTGCTCGCAGGGGGCAATGTTGGGGTTTTGTCCTGTTATTTAAGGGGATTGTATATAAAAGATGGACATAATGTTGCAGATGAGCAGTCCAGAGTTCACTGGTATGATGCAGAACATTTGCATTTGCACTGTTTCTCTCATCTGTACCTTGGGCCTCACAGTTAGAGAGCTGACTTCTGTCAATGAATGCTACATACACTGAGTGGTCTTCCAATGGACTTGTGTGTTTCTTAATAAGAAAGGTAAGAAAATCCCAGAAAGTTGATTCTGTTCATCTGGATGCAGCATTTTTCAGTGAGGGTGTTTCTTCACTCATCAGAATGACTTCTTCAGTCTCAGCTGACAGGTGACAGCAGTCCTCCACAACCTTATAAGCAGTGTTGCATAATTACTAAAATTAACTCCAAATGTCTAACAGTTGTCACAAGCACAACAACAACAACCTCATTTGTTATTAAAATACAAATTGTGATGATCATTGATCAATGGTGATTACTACAAAGAGAGTTGGGGAATGTCTGCAATCACATCTGTCCATCAGAACTGTTTTCTGTCATATCCAACAGGCCTTGCAATACTATATTATCCCAATAGACCATTGCTCTTAGAGTGCCTGGTTTTTTTGTGTTTCCTAAAATTTCCGAAATTAAAAGTAGGACCAGAGGCACAGCTGTTAGCTCATCTCTTGTGAAGACTGATGCCCTCTTTACTTTTCATTTTAGGCTTTTACGGTTTGTTTTTTTTAATTCACAGTTTATTTATAAAACTATAAGCTCTCATTAAAAGTGGCACAAGTACAATGGCTACATGCAGACCCATAAGACAGAGCTTACATATAAAGCTTACAAATACCTTCACACACCAGAAAAATCTCCTCATGAAGTCTGTCTACTAATTTCAGTCATCTACAGTAATTATTAAAAGGGAAGGAAAAGTGTGTACGTACGCAGGCATCTAGGTAGCTTCTGGCTCCACCTGGGGCCTGATGATCCCCGACTGAAGCAGGTTAGCAGGCTGTTTCCAGACAGAGTGAAGCCCTTGTTGCAGATATACTGAATAGTTGAACCTACGGTGAAATGAGTACCTGACAGCACCCGTCTGCTATGCTCCACCTTTCCAGGGTCAGTACAAGACACCACTGGGAGGACAAAGAAACAAAGATTGGTCATTACTGACCAACTACTGACCAGCATCCCAGAAGTGCTCATTGGGGCTGAAGTTAGGACTACAGGGAAGCCATTCCATAATCTCTACTCCAAATTCTGGAGCTTGTCCCTGATAAACTCTGCTCTGTGGGGGCGAGTGTGGAGTTGAGATATGGGATTACCACTGGTTGCAGAATCTCATCTTAATAGCTCTCCTCATTGAGGTTGCCTTTAGTGATGACAAGCATTGTTTTACCAGTCAGGGAGATGTCGTCCCACACCATCACGTCTTCTCTACTTTACAGCCTATCTCTGATATTGTAGTTACAACTTTGCCTTCAATCTGGAGATAAGAGAAGGGCTCACTCCAAATAATTCTGCAGATTGGTTTTGTGGAACACCAGCTTGAAGTTGCACTGTGACACAAGCCCTATCAAGATCATTCAAACATGGCATGCTTGAAGCAGACATCAAGTGACCACTGTAGCAGGGTCCATGCTCACAGGTGGTCCTAACCTGGGGTGATAATCTAAAATGTTTGGAACTGGCAGAGAAGATTTGGCAAGTTTTTCACGGGTGCTGCTCAAACCATAAATGTATTTTTCACTCATAGGTGCTTCAACGCAAGGAGTCACTGCTTTCCTCTGTTTTATATTCTATATGATTAACGGATTAATTAGACAAAAACACAGATTAACAGTGAGACAGTTAATTGTTTATCACTAAATACAATTTTTTTTAGCTGTAGCTCATCTGGACTATTTAATTGAACCTATACTTGGCTATACCAATTTCTCACCTCTTTCACAGCTCGGGAGATCGCCGCTCCAGGTGAGGTCCCACTGGCACATGAGTAGTTCGGAGCCTACCACCTGATAACCAGGGTAACACTGGTAAGTCACTACGGTGCCCTGAACCAACTCAGGGTGAGATGTACTCTTCCAGCCATTAGAGATCTCAGGGAGCTCAGGGCAAGTGTCATTACGAGCTACTTCTGCAGGAGACAGCAAAAAGAAGAAGACAAAAATCTGATGGATGTAAGGTTCGACTGAAAGGTGCTTTACAAGACTTTAAAGTTCTTTCTATCTTTTACTAATGTCAGTTAATCAGTCTCTCTACCTTTCAGTAATTATGGCTAAAATAATGGTTGAAGATACTGTTTTAAATCCAAAATGTCCATGTAATGTGATATTTTTGCATAACTTGGAGAGAAACTGAGAGTGTTTAGCTAATACATTAGTAGGCAATTTTTTGGCCCTGCTCAAGATGTATGGATGAATCTTGTAACTCTGGGTCAGTAGTGATTTTTGTGCTTGAAAAAACCTAGTGGTGGTGGGTGGCATTCCTATAACAACTCCATTTAGTACTATGTTCCTGCAGTAGTAAATGTGTTAGTTCTTTGGAAATTAAAGTTATCTAAACCTATTGTGGAAAAGTTTCTGATAGGACTGGGATCACCTGGTACACACATGCTCCTCAGAAGATTTCACTGTAAATAAAATGATCTGTCTTTTTTTTTTTTTTTAAATTGTCCATTTAAATTTGCTTTATGCTTCTCACCTTGCAAAAACAATTAGACACTGTAAACTTAAAGCCACTTTACTGATGATTTCTATTCTCATTTCTTGTCTATGCAACAAGAAATAACATTGATTCTTATAACATAAAAAAGTATTATACATTTGTATTGTTTTCATATGTTAGACAGCTGTGTGCTGCTGTGTGTTGAGCAACATTATAAAATTTTACAGAGACATTAAAGTATGTATGAGGTGGACTCTAATTCCTATTGTGCACAAAAGAACATGCAACCAGCGAATTCTGTGCAGTGTCATTCTACCATTTGGTTGGTGGTTTGTAGATGTGGCTCATAGCACATAAAACATCTAAAACCTGAATATCTTAATTTGTCTTCAAAGCTTAGACTCAGTTGTTGACAGTATTTTCCATCATTTTAAATGACCTGTTCTCTGGGCAAACTGCCATACCTGATTGCTTTCCTCTGCTCATTCCTACATAACAGCACTCTTCTTAGGAGTCTAATTTCACCAAACACGCCAACGTAATTGCATCTGGGCACTAGACAAGCAGAATTCTCCAACACCTGTCTGTTTTGATGTCTTGTGTTTACATTACTCCAACATGTTTCATGAACCGATTGTAACAAGCTTTCCCTTTCCTTTGCTGGTAATCTGTATTCCATAGCTTTCCTTTTCCTCTGAATTTATTAGCTCTTATCAGATAAAGTGTGGTCGCTGTGGCATGGTGCTGCACTAATGACACATTCTGTCCAAAACTAGGGATGGCCTCTCATTGCTTCCATTTTTAGGTGCCATATCAGCAAAAATGAATTCAAACTTTTTCCTTTTTGCCCAGCTTTTTGCTTAATAATAAATATGTGTTAGAGGAAATAAGTATGAGGCTGCAGCTGCAAAAATGCATTGACAGGAGCGTAAGTTTTGTGGGTGATCCACTAAAAATGCAGCAACATCATTGCAGTAATGACAAGCATTCTACCCACTCCTGAGATGAGACACATAGAGGTGTTTTGCACTGTGTAGTGATCCCTGTGTCAAAATGTGACTAAAAACCTGAAACACTGCAAAACCACTATAGGTTTCACTTAAGGTTTAGCTTTCAGACAATGTCATCGTTTGAGTTTAAAGAAAAACCTTCAAAACCAGTGTACAATGTATCTGGTTTAAAATTCACATGTGGAATATGGCAGAATGAATATGAGCTGAGGCACAATTGTGCCTAAGACTTACCAAAGAAGTGGACCACAAAACCATTTCCATAGCCATAGACGTTAGTGGCAGGGTCAGACTGAAACTGGATGGTGACATCTGCAGTGGAGGTGTAGAGCTTAAAGCGGGACTTTGATCCTCCATACTGACCCAGCAGTTTGGCTGTAAGGTCATCCCCATCATAAAAGGTCAACAGGTCATTCTTCCCGATATTTAACCTGAAACAAAAATACAAAGAATAAAGTTTTATCTCTGTTAGTGATATTTAGTATTTTATTCTTTTTTATTTATTTTTTTGGAGGTACTTCATTCCTCCTCTCTCTGGCCTCACCTTTAAATTGCACCTTCTCCACGATAGATTTCCGACAGAGCTTAATGTTAATGGTAGGCCTCATAATGTGCTCATACATTTTTAAAATGACAGCAATTACTCAAAGAGAGTGAAGACAAATCTGAGCCACACAAAGGTTACATATTACTAATGTAGAGTATTGCATTATTCATCAGGGGCAGCATAGGTCTGGTTTCTCACTGCAGAGAACAACATCAAGATTTTAATGTGACATTAGTCTAAAGTAAGGTCGTGGTTGATGACCAGAAAATGCGCACTTAAAGTTCACAGTAGACTGAAAGTAAAGCTGCGACTTCTTTTTTCGGCTGCTTCTTTTGGGTCACCACAGATCATCTTCCTCCATCTCATCCTATCCCTAGCATCCTCCTCTGTCATACCAACCCTCTTTCACTGTATCCACGAGGACTTCCGGATGTGCTTTGCCGTGTGAAGACGTACGTGCGGAGGCTCCGTGTAAAAGTAGTCAAAATAGTGATATCGCCAGTTTGTTACCATTTTGAGGAAGCTCGGTTAATACGATTCGTGCTGTGGAGTGAACGAGGGTGCTCACGGGGCAATTTATGACCGAAAATGTCCAACCGACAGACCCGTGCCGGTGTAGAAAAGTTGCATGCGGATAGCAACCCTGCCGCCGCAGCTAGCAAGGCCACTGCTAACCCAGCACGCGCCGACAACATGCCTCAGTGGGCTCAAGACATGATGTCCGAGATCAAAAAAACAAATGCTGAGATTACAAAATACAGAGAGGAGACAAAAACCGAGATCATGAGATGCAAGGAGGAAATAGAAAAAGGAAGAAAAGAGTCAAAAGCCGAGATGGAAAAGTGGGCTAAGAGTGTGGAAGATAACACTAAAGCTCAGTTTGAGTTGCTACGTGAGGAGGTGAGACTGATAAGCGAGACGTCCGTCAGTCTGGCTAACAAGATGGAAGTGCGGAAAAAAGAAGTGGATGACACGCTGAACGACCAGTCTGACAGTATAACCAGCATGGAGACTAAATTGAAAGAATTGGAGAAGGAGATGCTGACGCTGAGGAGACGTAGTGAAGATCTCGAGGCGAGATCACGACGCAACAACATACGCATCGTGGGGGTAAGAGAAGGGGCTGAGACGGGCAAGACGCCGTTGGAGTTCATAGCTGGGCTGCTGAAAGAAAAATTGGGGCTATCGGTGACACCGACGCTTGACCGAGCACACCGAACACTCGGCGCGAGACGAGACGGAGCCGGGGCTCCACCGAGAGCGTTCGTGGTGAGATGCCACTACTATATAGAGAAGGAGGAGATACTGAAGAAGGCGAGGGAAATGGAGAGAACGCCGGAAGGTCGGAGTGGACGGATTCATATCTTCCCAGACTACACCCAGGAAGTAAACAACAAGAGAGCAGCCTTCAAAGAAGCAAGGAGCCTCCTGCGTACCTACGGGGGGGTCAGATATGGGCTCCGTTATCCGGCAACGCTGGTGATTACACCAGAAGGGGGACAAACGAAAACCTTCGAGACCCCAAAAGACGCCATGGAGTTCATCAAGAAGACGCTGACTCCCGGGTGAAATATATGGGCTGGTCTGAGCTTGGCTACGTATAAGGGCTACACTGGTGTAAGGTCTTACATGTCTCAGGAAAGATATTGGTGATTGGATTTTGCAATATTGGTGAAGTACCACCTCATCTTATTGTTTTATATTTGAATATTTTGTTTAGGAAATTGCTTTATACTACTTCATGTTATTTTTTATTACTGGATTTTATTTTCAAAGATCTTTTCTTTACTTTTGTTTTTTTTTTTTTCCCCCTCTTTTTAGGAGGTGGGTAGCTTAGAGGGTGATATTATATTTTTAGAACCATGGGATATTTTGCACGGAGCCGCACACGGTAGGCTTGGTGTGTAGGAGAGGGTGGACCGGTTGGCCACGAGAGTGCTTGCTAATGAGCACTGTGTTTGGGTTCGTATTCATATATGCAATGTGTTGTGTGTTACTTGTGTATGTGTGTGTGTTGTTTCCCCATTTTTTCCCAGACACCGTCCCTTTTTTTTTTTTGTTTTTGCTGCCAGACCTTCAGGGTGTGATCCAGATGGTGGACGACATGGGAGCGTAGTGGACATGTTGGGCTGTGGACTCCTGGCATGGCACCGGACATGGCTGTGAGCGGAATGGGCACGAACTTGATTAGCTGGAACGTAAGGGCGATCAATAAACCGGCTAAACGGAGTAAAATCTTTTCATATTTAAGAGACCAGGGAGCGGAGATAGTATATTTGCAAGAGACACATTTGTTAAACAGGGACCACCTTAAACTGTGTAGGGGGGGTTTCAACCAGATCTATCATTCAAATTTTGATAGTAAGAGTCGAGGAGTGGCCATCCTTATACACAGGAATGTACAATTCATAGAAACAACCGCCATAAAAGACAAACATGGTCGATATGTTATTGTAGCTGGGAAATTATTCAATATGCCAGTAGTGTTGGCAAATATATACGCACCCAATTGGGATAATGTTCAATTTTTTAAGGATTTGTTTTCGTTACTACCTAACTTGGACACACATAATTTGATTTTGGGGGGAGACTTGAATTGTGTCCTAGATTTAACTCTGGACCGCTCTAGCCCAACACCCGGTGTGCTAAGTAAATCTGCTCAATGTGTTAACTCCTTTTGTGAAGCATATGGTATATTCGATCCATGGAGATATGCAAATCCGACTGTTAGACAGTACTCCTTTTATTCCCCGCCACACCAAACTTATACTAGAATCGACTATCTTTTGTTAGACAAGAAATTGACCCCAATGGTAATGCATGTAGAATACCCTGGTATAGTACTATCTGACCATAGCCCAGTCACACTGAAACTTAAATTCCCTGACTATACACCACCTCAGAGGATGTGGCGTCTTAATAGTAGATTGTTGGCTGATGATGATTTTAAAGAATTCATCAATTCGCAAATAGTTTTTTTCTTGGATCTTAATGATACTCCTGATATAAGCAGTGGCATTTTATGGGAATCATTAAAAGCGTACGTATGCGGACAAATTATTTCATACAGTGCTGGTGAAAGGAAAAGAAGAACGAAACGTACCACAGAATTAATGACAGCAATAAAAGAAGTTGACCGGGCAAATTCTTTGACCCCATCTGAGGAGCTGCATAGAAAAAGGATTTTGCTCCAGACTGAATATGACATTCTGACAAGTCAGCGCGAGGAGGATT